CACCCCTTGCCATTAAACCAAAGCCCAATTTTTCACTTTAAATGGAAACTTTAAAATACCTCTTCCCTGTGTGTTCACAGCCTCTTGCCCAAACTACTGTAGCAGATTGAATATATGGGCTAAGGCAAAATGGAATATGTGAAAAAAGCTAACCTCTAAGCAGTATATATTCTTGGCAACAAAAGAAAGTCCATTGTGTGGAGAAATGACACACAGGTAAGCTAATAAATTCACTCTGAAATAATTGTTGCAGCTTACAGCTCTCAAATGTAAGTGGACAGGAGTGCTTTTCTGCACAAGAGCCTGTGGGCTGTGTTTTCTACAGCTTTTGTTTAGCTGTTAACAAATAATAATAATATTAATAATAATTTTAGAGCGCGTTTCATGATGCTCAAAGCCTCTTCACTTAAAATGAGCATAGAAACAACGCACTAAAAAATATAGAACACAACAATTAATCAGTAGTTCTGAAAAGATGGGTTTTGATTACTGATTTGAACGTGGACAGATCGGTACAGTCTCGGATGTGTTTGGGGAGAGAGTTCCAGAGGGAGGGGGCAGCTATGGAGGTTGGCATCAGAGGAGGCGGAGGCTGAGGAAAGGAGTGTGGTGGTGGAGCAGGTCAGTGAGGTAGAAGAGGGTCTGGTTATGGAGGGCTTTGTGAGTGAGGAGAAGGACTTTGAATTGGACCCGTTGTGACAGTGGAGGTGACAGATATTTTACATAATGACACAGCTCAATCTATCTGCTTCCTAACACTCAACAACCAGCGTGTAACAACCAGCTTGTTGTGAATATATAAAAATATAGCTAGTAAATATACATAACAGCTAGTTAATGTTAAGTAGTATACCATCAAGCCACTGCTAGAGAAACTGTTTAAAGTGGAGCTATGTATTTCCTGGTGTCAGTATATGTATTGCTATTCTGTAACAGGCAGTCTGTAAATACATTTTGCTGCAGGTCAGGATTCATCTATGACAGGCAGGGACCTTCTGTATCTTGGTAGGTATTAAAATTCAAACACTGTATATGGAAAAAAAACTCACCCCTGAAACTCGGTTTGGGTTTGTAAAGAAATCTCACAAACTGTCATACAGTGCAGTGTGGTTTTGAAGATTAAGGTATGAAGAAAGTTATTTGTCCAAATGAAAGCAATGTAAATCTTTTAAAAGGTGAGTTCAGTTTTTTTTACTGATATGTTTTACCCCCCTACATCTCATCCATGTGTGAAAACAAGTGCTGTTTTTTTCATGGGGGGACATTTTGTTGTTAAAGTTATAAATGTGCCATTAAAACATCAAACTGGTTCTCATTAATGCTCCACCAACCTTTTAATGTGATGAAACTGCACCATTTAAACACGCTAAATTTAAATTGCCCATCTGTGGGATGTCACAGCTGGAAAATGTAATTATATACAGTGGCTAACTTTTTGTAATGGCACAGTCATATTAAGCTTCACTTCAACAAAACTTGCCTCAAAAAATTAGTAAATAAATATTCCAGCGTTAGAGTTACTGATGTTGCTGAAACAGAGTATTGGTACATGCTAGAAATTTGACTCTATTTCTAAACAGTGCATCAGTGTTTCTGTTGGGCTGAATGGTACCAGCGATACTAACTAGGTTCTGTTCCATTTAGTGTAGCAGAGCTTTTGCAGTGAGCCAACATGCACAAGAGCAGCACCTGACTCTGTTTGACCTGCATGGAATGAAACCTTAATTAGTATCATTGGTAACACTCTTTACCCTACTATTTTATGTCAGAATGGCTGCCGTGAAAAAGGTCTATTGGCATCTTGAAATGGTAACTCTGACCTGCGGGTTCACTAAAAGCTGCTTGAGATTGCATTAAAGAAGGAAATGCATGCTTGAATTTGTCTGTTCTGTTGGCTTTAGTTGAAGTGAATGGGAGCGAAGTGTGAGTGTATCTCAATTCAGAGTCTGATTCAGGTTTTATAGTCGTGGGTTTGATGTCCGCATCAATCACATTTAAAGTTCCTCAATTATGTTTCATTTGTTTAGATCTTGGGATCTTAAACACATTTTCTGTGCAATTTCAGATGAAAAAAATGGCATCAGCTGTTTGCTTGTGTTATTTTCAGGAGTTTCCAAAGGCCCCTCCATGCCCCTGGAGCCAGAACCTGATGTGGAAAATGCCCCCAGCCCGCCTACTGATCCTCCCGGCTCCCCAGAACCTGCTGAGTCATCCAAATCCAGAACCTCTAAGAGGAAAACTAAGGTGGAGGCTTGAATTAGCTTGGTGACTGCAATTTTTGTCACAAGATCACTCTCATGTTATGGAGGCAAATTAAGGTTCTTGAATAGCAACCAAGCTATTAGTGGTTTTATAGCTCATTGTAGTTAGACATGACGCCTTGAGTTATAGGATTCTGGTTTAGGTACATGGCACACAGACATTTCATGTCCTATACAATAATTTACTTTAAACTGGAAAGGGCAACAACAATGTTTTGTCTTTTTTCATAGCATTTATTTCAGGAATATTGAATGTCAGTACAACATTTATCACTTTTTAAACCAAAATTCTGAGATAATCAAGTGTTTCTTGTAAATCAGTGTAGATGTGGCAGGTATGGTCCAAATGTCCAAACCAATTCCAATGGATGTCGCAGTTTAAGACTCTAGTCGACAAAATGGTAATATGGGCATTTGTGCAGTTGCAGGTGTTAATATTTGAATGAGCTTAGCAATAAGGTTAAATGATGAATTTTCCTTGTATTGACGTTTCTAGGGAAGGTGTCGGTCCTCCGCTGTTGGATTTCCCTGCAGTTAAATCAATGTGAAGGAAATGCTGCGACAATCACTAACATAAAGAGTACAGAAAGGGATGTTTTTGAATAGATACAGGATGTTGCTTGTTTGTATGATAGGACTCTTTTTGAGGGGTTGAGTGTAAATAGTGGTACATGCTTTTTTATGTGGATAAATGTTATGTTTATAGAGAGTAATGTATTTAATATTAAATAAGAGACTTTAAAGAAAATAGCTATCCCGCTTCTTTTATAGTCCATCTGTGTGTTGTTTGAAGTCATTCTGTTCAGCATACAAAACACTGAAAGGGGACAGTATAGCTTTCAAAGTCCATCCATTATCTAACACACCATACTACTCGGTACTCATCAAGTCAAATAGTTTTCCAGTCATGGTGAACATCCGCTAATGGTTGTCGGGAAAACAACTCATGAATGAGGAATAAACTCTTGTGGTTAAAAATGGGACCTTATAAATTATCTGTATCAAAGGTCACATACAACCTGAATTATTTATGTGTATGAATTACAGTATGGATGAGTCAATTTCTACATATTAATCAAAAATATTTATGAAATATGTCCCCTGACAAAGTGTAGCTACACAGGAATATGTTTATTTCTGTGTATTTAATATTTGGGGGCATTTAAATATGACACCACTGGTGTTTGGTTTAGTTGTTTTGGGCTGGTGAACTAAAAAAACAAAGAAAGAGAAAGAAAATTATGCTCGGACATGTCACAATTCAGCATTTCAGAAAGTAAAGAATCATACCCGAGCACTGTCAGTCAATAAGATCACCTCCCTGCTCGCTGTGATGATTCAAAACTGTACCTTGAACTGGATTTATATCATTGATCAACTGTAAGCTGGGGGGGTCTTCGGGGGGAGTCTTAGATGCAACAAGAAAATCTGAGAGTTGATTACACCTTAAGTTGGTTTAGTGAATCTGGCAGAGAGCTAGTGGATATGAACCAGTATATAGGGAGTTAATGAAGGACTGACACACAGGTGAGTGGGGAGGGTGAACAGGTGAGGTGAATCTATAATCAGAGGACTGGCTGGAGGGAGCAGCTGGGTCTGAAATGACAGCAGAGTTAGAACATGAAGGAACAAATGACGAAACTGAATGAATGAATAAACTAAATGTAAATAAGTTCAGTTTTTTTATTAAAACATTTATTTGTATTATTTGTATGAGCAGTTCTGCGCATACCCCTGGTGTACATACACCATGTTTAATCCTTTTACATGGTCAGACTGAACTTAAATGGTAACCTGTACTACATTTCAGATTATGTTTTTCCCCACAGCATTAGTTTCCTGAAAAATACCATGATATTACTTCGAAATTTAGTCAGTTGTGTACACTGTAGTGAAATAGAGCAATCAGAAAAGGGGAGGAAGAGTCATCTCTCCTGCTGTATAGGCATATGTTGTATATATGTGTATGATATATATATATATATATATAATCTCTTTTGATTCAGTCTCTTTTGATGTGTCTGTTTTTGCTATGCAACAAAAATAGATTTCCAATGTGGCACAGTAAAGATGGAAATGAACTATTCTAAAATAAATTTACTGGCAGCATTTAGCATTTTCAATAGCATTTTTGTTTGGCAAAGCAGGAAAAGCACAGGTGTTACTAACATTAACAATATGTGTCCCAGTAAGCCAGTGTCAGTGAGTGCACAATACCAGAGCCCTGGAAGTGGATCACCTAAATGGAATCCAGCCACCATCAGTTTTATTAATTACACCTTTTTTCCTGCTTTGACAAGTCAAAATATCTGACGTGAAAAGCGTCTATTGAACCCCAGAATATCAGACTTCTACCAAGGTGTCATTATTTATGAAGTCAAGTTAAGCTCAGTGGAATATAACATAATAACATAACATACATTTAAAAGGTTCATAGTTGACATTTACAGAATTCTTCATGTTTAAATTCTACTGTTTTATATAATCTTTTAATCCTTGATGGAGATAAAAAACTGGAAAATATCTTCTTTGAATCCAATCAGAGCATTGTTTGACCCTGAAGATGCACACTGCAGTTGTCATCGATCACTCAATGCTTTCAAACTTTCTTGACTTTTGTATGCTTTTATGACGGAGAACAGCATCTACATGTGCTGCTATTATCGCCGTGAGACTGTAGGTTTTTCATTATGGGTCCTTGTTAAACTGTGCATGCCTGAATTGCCTGTGGTTGTAACTTTTACAGCCAGCTGATGGCCTGTAAATTACTGCTCCTGCTGCAGTTATTTTTCAGTGCAGCTGTGGAAGATTGGTTTTCCATTTCTCATCTTTCTACAATTCAAATCGCCTGTGGAAGCGTCTCAGTACCTCGTGGAAGTTTCATTTAAAGTTCTCTGGCTCCAGGGAATGGTAAGTTGTGCTATTTTTTCATTGTTCTTTATTCAGATTTTGTATACTTGAGGATGTAACTTATTTATTTATTTTACACTTTCAGCTGCTCCCCGTAGGGGTCGCAACAGTGGATCAACTTTGTTATATTAATAGGCCCAAATAAATATAGAATCTTTATAATGGTAAGTTGTGCTATGTTTTCATTGTTGGGTTTTTAATTCAGATACTGTTGAGGATATTTATAGGCGTCATAAATACAATATCTTTATAGTAATGGTAAGTTGTGGTTGTGAAATAGGAATGTTGATTTTGTTTTCCTATCCAAGGTTTCTTTTATAATGCCTGTGTTTTTTAACTGTTAGCTGCAGCTGTTCAGTCAGTCTCAATTGTTGAATGACTTGTTTGCCAAGATGCTCACAGCTGGCAGGATGTACTTTTGTTTGTTTCACTGCGGAACAGAGCTGACGGAGGCCTTACTTGGACAAAGAAGAAGATATGTTTTATTTCCTTTGTTCAGCTAGTATTTCTTATTTGAAGTCCAGTGAAATGGATTCTGACTGTCTGGATTTTAAACAAGCTGGGCAGTTAACCTCCACCCCCTTTTTCCTTCGTTGCAGTTCTAACCTAAGATTTTACATCACATAAAACTACTGTAATTCTGTCAGCAGCTCTTCGTGCAGTCTCTGCCCCTTGTCTGGCTCTTTTAAATAGTTCCCCAGATAATCACAAGGTCTTGAGTATCCAGCTCAGTAGTAGTCCTCCACACACTTCTCATCCTCCTGTATTTCCCTTTTCTCTTCAGGTACCCCACATCATTTGTGTCCAGTTTCTTCTGAACTCAGCACAGCCTCTCCCACCTGAGACACAAGCTGTGTCCCAGTTCCATACGACACACTACTTGTATATACTAATCTTTATAGTATACTGTTTACTTCAGTTGTTATATACTGCCACAGCACATAAAGCTATTACATTATTTTTTGTTTTTTCTAAGATGTTATTGGAGCCGTTTAACCAACATCCAAAATTTGATTTTATCCAGCAGCTTAATTTCCTTTGTGCATTGTATTGTGGGAGAATAGTGTCTATCAACACTTAAAGGTCAAGTACTTTTTAGTACCCTATGAATACTGTCTTTTCATCCATGTTAGCAGTATGGCATAAAGGTTAGAAAAGGTTGTTGTTGTCGGTCAGTCCACCACTTTGGTCCAGGCTGAAATCTCAGCAAACTAATTCTATACACGGGCGCCTGGATAGCTCAGTGGGTAGAGCTGGCGACCCATGTACCGAGGCTGAGTCCTTGCTGCAGCGGCCCAGGGTTCAAATCTGACCTGTGGCCCTTGGTTGCGTGTCATTCCCTCTCTCTCTGCCCCCTTTCCTGTCTATCTTCAGCTGTCACTATAATAAAGGCAATAAAAGCCCAAAAAAATATACTTAAATAAAAAATTCTGTACACATACTGACTCTGGCGATCCTCTGACATCCTCGTGGGACCACCATGAGGTTCATATTTATCTTTTTTAAGTGAAATATCTCAACAGTTGTTGGATGGATTGCAATGACATTTAGAAATGTGTTCCCCTCAGGATGAATTGAAATAGCTTTGAATTCTCACCTGATCTGCAAAACTAATGACATTCCCATCAGCCCCAGCTGCACTTTGTGTTTATTACTAATTAGTTATAATGTGTTGTAGACGTGGTAAAACTGTGTTTAACGTCAGCATACTGATGTTAGCATTTAATTTAAAGCACCACTGTGCAGCCTCACAGAGCTGCTAGCACTGCTGTAGTAGTTGTTGTTGTCACTATACAATACTAAAGTTGTTAAGATGATACTGGAATGCAGAGTCAGATAATGAGCCGAGAGGATGGACGATGCTGGGAAAAAATAAAAGGAGGTCGCAGTGCCAGGTGAACAAAGTGACAGAAGTGTGATGGAAAATGTGAGGATATTTTTGGCAAGCTCACATGATTTCTTCTACTCCATCAACGTAAGCATCTCTGATATCTTTGAGGTCACCTGTTAGACTCAACACAAGATGATTTATCAGTTTCTCAATAGGAGTACTCAGCCTTAAATTGTATATACTGAATTTCATGTTTTGAAAGCTGATATGATGTGTAGAAATTACCTGGACCCTCATTTATAAAAAAAATTGGACATTCTAATGAATCTTTAATGGTATCCTAAGATCATTTTTCAGTTTATACATGAGTTTGATTTATGAAATGATCTGAGTGAAGCTGAGTCTGCTCATTTAGAAAACATGTTTTGCACCTGTCTAATATAAACCAATTTGGGAACTGCAATAAATCTTCCATCTCAACCCTTACGGATCAATTTACAAACTTCTATCTAGTACCATTGGCATCTTAAAGTAGTGTTGTACAAACTGAGGATTCAATCGTGAGCCCATACATTTTATTTAAAGATTAAACTTGTTTTGAAAAGTAATACTAGCGCCATTAAAATTTTAGGCCACTTTTTATCAAAATATTTATGCAGCCTGCACGCAGCTCACCATGGGGGTTCACATGTGGTTCTCGAGCCTGAAGAAACCTCAGCACAGCAAGCCAGTAATGTGCTCTGTAAGATGTAAACCTGGTTCAGAATGGTTGCATGTCAGTCTATTTTTTTCCTGCACGCGTAGTAAGATCAAATATAACACTGAGGCTTTTTTTTTATAAGCTGAATGGCATTATTTATTTATTCAAGAATAAAGGATAGTTTGTACGACAAATTGTCTGACCTTGAAATGAAATGTAAATGCTTTAGTTGTTCTGAGTGCGGAGTGAAAACTCGACTGGCATTTTGTTTAAATATAGGGTCAATGGCTTACATTTTCACAGTATCTACTGGAATCTGGGCTCGTTTCTCACCTCCACACAGCTGGTCAATCACGACAGGAAGTGAGTGTGAAATGTTTTTTGTCAGAAATTGTGGGACGCAGTGCCCCTATTTCGATGTGACGGGTGGGGTTTCCTATGTGAACTACGTGACCTGATAAAGCATACTAGTAACTACAGTCTGGTGATATTTTGTAATGTTCTTATTACAAACAGATTCCATGAAAAGGTCAAAACCACCAATAAATTGATCCTACAAACAAGAGTTGCCATTGTTGTGCAAAAACTAGTAACACATCAGTGAGCCTCACTGGGTGGCTTTTTATTACCAACACCATGGGCACTGTCAAATCCTGCTGTTTCAAATACGCACTAGCTCATCAAATGTTATCGTAATCCATTAGTGAAACAAATGCACTATTTACTCCTTGCTTGTTAATACAGTGCCCTGCTGTTTTGGGACTTTATTTAGCCTTTTAAAAAAATGAAACTAAACAAAACAATCTTCTCTCACTCAACTCAGTTACTCTTAACCCTGTAGGTATTTTAGTGTCTTTCAGCTCATTGTTTTGGTTTTGTGGCCGGCAACTTTTGGTTCTCTCTTACCACTATCACCGCTCTCATCAACCTCTAAATAAACCCACTGCCAGACTCCAAACAGCAGACAGACAACATTAGCTACCACTACTGAACATAATGGAGCATTGAGCAGCTAAATGACTGCGTGCTTATGTTGCTCCATATCTGCTGGAAGTGTAAACAGGCAATAGTTTGCGAAGACCCGAATACGCCAAATATGTGTGATCATTTCCAGCTTGTTGTGGATTTCTGTTCCCAAGTGGCAAAAGAAACTAAGGCAGCTTTCAATATCTTCTATACCTAAAATGGTAGCAATAGTGGACCACAGACATATATACACTTCACTTGATATGGCAGCATATTTCGAGGAGAACTTCCTAGAGAGCTATCATCTGTATTCTATCTACTTTTCTGCCTGCTGGCTGTGTCAAGGTCCAGAAACGAAACTTTTCAGTATCTCTGAGGCTGTTTTATTAATTCATGGCCACTCGCTTTAACCATCAGTCCTGTTTCATAGTAACTAGGGTTTGTGCCTGGGCGGAGACTTCAAAGCAGCATGGGACATAAATCAGTTTTATCAAACAGACATATAAAGGGTTGTAATCAAAACCTATTAGCAGGACACAGCAGATCAAGACTTTATTTGTTACACCCCACTTCAGCTCTGCAAATTCATGATCAATACATGAGTAAACTCACTAAATCAAGCTCGTTTGGATTTTGGATTCTTGAAAAGCACTTCTTCATTGGTGTCCAAATGTAGTTGGTTGTTATTCCTTCCAATAAGACATGTTTATGGTGTGGGCTGAATTGCTTTGCCTCCTCTGGATGTATGCACCATGTCTGGGATCAGGGACAACAAAACGCTGTAAGAAAAGAATTTCCCAGTGGAGTGCTTCTTCTTCTCTCAGTGGTGCTGGCGGTGGTTAGGCAGGCTGTAAAGAACCGGGAAGATTCTGAGCCAGCAAGTGAAATAAGACCTCAGTGCTGAGACTTTTAGACACAATATATTGTTTACAGTCGTGCTGTATAGCAGATGTTGCATAATATTTCTATATCGGTGAAATACTGTGTTGTTGGTGTTGTATTTTAACTTGTGGGAGCCTGAAGATCTGACCTGATTTTACTGTTATAACAGCTTCAAAGGAAAGGATCAGCTCAAACAGTAGATAGGTCTGATACTGCATGCCATTCAGATAAAAGCAATGTAGAGTATTGAGTAAAGGATTCACATCAACAGTATGTTAACTGTATGTGGGATTTTACAGTATTTCAGTTTTCTGGGTTGTATTTATTCCTCATGAGTAAATCCCCTTGCAGAAATGTTTTGTTTGTAAAACATCTACATGCCTGTTTTTAGGAAGTTAGCCGTTTAAGAAAAATTTCACATTTAGAGTTGGATAAGAAGATTGATAGCACACTCGTGTGTATACGGTTAATATGAAAGTACAGCTAGCAGCTGGTTTATTGGACTGGACTGGAAACAGGGGGAAACTGAGACTGCATAAATAGTACACAGAGCCCCCGAGTCTGAAAAGTGAAGCCAAGGCATAAATTACTTAAAACTGCATTCTTTCTAATGGCCAGCAGGAGGCGACTCAACAGGAAGTCTGATTGAATTGATCCTAATTCTCACTTTCTTTATTAGCTCAGTAAACAGTTTCTTTATGCGTTTATGGTCTCAATAATTAGTTTCTAGTCTTCTTCCATACAGCATGATGCTCATTTAGAAAATTATGGTCCCATTCAGAGTAAAATATCTGATAAAAGCTTTAGGCTGTGGCTACCTTGTGATTGACAAGTTGCTACCACGGTGTGTTCTTGGGTTCTCAGTCAGATCCAATCAGGACAGAGGTATATAAATGTGTATCCTCTCCAGCTCCAAACCTCTCATCCTAATATGGTCATGTCATGGGTGACGTCAGAGTAAGTTTACACTTTCTCTGTCCACAGCTAACAAAATCTATCAGCATCTCGAAAGCTCACAAATTAACTTTTTTGTTAAATTTGTACATGATATGAAGTGGTTTTATGAGGGTTATGTGTCGGGTGACTTCTTAGCTTGGAGCCGTGTACTTGCTGGAGTCCAGTTGTCAACGTGAAGTTGCCAAAGCAACCATCACAGACTCAACAGCACTTACACAATGTGTCACACGTAAAAGCAGTTTTTCTGCAATAATCGAATACACCCTTAGAGGTACCGGTTGGCGGTTTGTGTTTCCTTAGGACAGAGCCAGGCGAGCTGTTTCCCCCTGTTTCCTGTGTTTATGCTAAGCTAAGCTTACAGGCTGCTCGCTGTAGCCTTATATTTACCATACAGATATATATATATTAAATGTTCCTTTAATAAATGAATGAACGTGTAGTGAAGTGTACAGTTTATTTATTTGGTCACCAGTTTTCTGTTTAATTTAAGGTTGATAGTGTCCCTGACATTGTAGTTCGGGCGTACAGTACGGTTGCTTTACTTAACTTTTTAAGATTAAAAAATTAATCTCAGAATTGTTCCACTTGACATTGTCTCGCTACTTTTCCTCCAATGGTTGCCCTTTTATAATTCCACTTGGCTTAACACAAACCAGTGTTTGGGATTTAGGGCAGCAATAGATGGATTAGAACATACAGACAGAAAACTAACCGAGAGAGAGAGAAAAAAGCCTCAAATCCAGAGCTGTTTGAGTGAGGTGCTGTTTCATGTAATTAATCTGCTTCTAGCTTCACTAGACTAGCCATATTTCACGATGACACTAATAATGCCTAATTATATGATGTTGTAAAATCTTAGCTGGTGTTTAAACATGTAATTTAGGTAGAGTAATGGTGCATATAATGTATTTTACTTTTAATCACTCTGGGTTTTTCGTGAGGAACTGAAGGAGCACGGCTTTGCATTTCAATAAAGCACTTGATTAGGGAGTGTGGTTGTTGGTGTTGTTGTTTTTCGGCAGATACTGTTTACTCTGAGCTCTGCCTCCCAAAATTCCCCCCTCCGCCCCTCTTCTGGAGACAACTCAAAGACCCCCTGCTGGC